TTTTCTTGACCGTCTATGTCAACAGGCTCGCTCGCGCAGATTACCGGAAAGTGTGACATTGACTTGAACTAGAGGAAAAACTCCAAACATCAAAGCTTTTTTAAAAATCGATGCACTGCACTTAGCATTTCGTTTTCCTGGCTTGAAATCATTAATCATTAATTAATTAAGTTGGTCATTTTTGTATAAAAGAATTGCTTATTTGAAAGATCAAACTTAACGAATTAGCGATTTAACGATTTTTTTAAGGCTATCTATTTTGGCGCGTTTTTGTTCTCATTACTGTGGCTTGCTGGCAATTGCTGGCAAACAGCTAAGCTGTAACCAGAAGCCATCGACAAAGGAAAAAATAGAGGCCGAGCCAACTCCAGCGAGCATTGAACCAAAGAAAACAAACCTTTTGCAGACACAGTAGTAGTAGTAGTAGTAGCTGAAACTCCTCTCGGTATACACTATTTGTTTCTTATTAAAAAATCATTTTTTCAACATTTTTTCATTTGAAGTCAAAATAGATAGCCCAAAAAAATCGTTAAATCGTTAATTCGTTAAGTTTGATCTTTCAAATAAGTAATTTTTCTTATACAAAAAAGACCAACTTAATTAATTAATGATTTAATGATTTCAAGCCAGGAAAACGAAATGCTCTAAGTGCAGTGTATCGATTTTCAAAAAAAGCTTTGATGTTTGGAGCTTTTCCTCTAGTTCAAGTTCTGTACAGGAGCTTAGCTGGCAACCAAAACAAAGACCTGAAAGGTTTAGAAACCTGGAGATCAGCATTGTCTGAGATCCACATGTCTGAGGCAGGCTTGTATGGAGGTTGGAGTCTCTTATATCGGATGTCATGATTGTCTTCAGGAAAAGGCAGTTCAGAGAGAGATCATTGAACTTATCTCTTCTGTTTGTCAGGGACGCAGGATCCAGCCAGAGGCCCACCGTCGATCTGAGTGCGGAACCAAAATTCATGTTCATGTTTCTCTACCGTGTACTGGAGGCAGTCCAATCTTGAACTTCCGTCAACAGTCTAGAGAGAGGCATGTGGAAGTCTTCGAGGGACTAGCTAACTCAGGCGATTGTCTTTTGAAGAAGGTGGATGAAGTCTATGGCCAGGTCCGCCAGGTATCTAAGAGTCTAGAACTACCAGCCAATAATCAGTACTGGAAGTCAGAGGTCTTGAGGAAGGTCTTGTCGAACCAGCATCTAGGGTTTGAAGGCATCGTAAATGGATGTTCAATGAAGATGTTTACCAAGAGTCAACAACCAGTCGGAAAGAGGTTCAGGTTTATGTCGAACCGCAAGGAAGTCGCAAATAGGTTAGCGGAAAGATTCAAGTGTCAGTGCATTGTCGAGCGCGCAGCTTTCAACAATGTCAATTGGACAGAGACAGAACGATACACCTGTATGTTCGCTCGATACTTCGTTCGGTTTCTGAGGAGTGAGGCTGGACATGCATGAGCGGATGCTGCCGGATTGAGAAAGGTCTGAGATGGATCTATCACCATGAAGGGTGTTTTCTCTCCTTTTGCAGCACAGATTCCGTCGATCAAGTCGAGAGGACGTCGCGAAAAGAGAGAGTGTCTTTTGTCTGAGTCTTCGAGGTTTTCTTTGAGAAGAGCGTTGAATGTCGAAGGCCAGAGGAATTAGATAGATTTAATGAGTCTGAGGTTTTCGAGGTTGGTCGAATGTCTCTTGATGAGAAGATCGGAATCGGAGATTGGATGGTCTTATTGGCAAAGCCATGGAGGTCTGAAGATTCAGAGAGAATGCAATTTCTATTCTATTCTGTTTTGTGTGTGGTTCAAGCTCGCTGTGCTTGCTGTGCTAGCTGACTGCTTGTGTCCGCAGCTATTTGGGTGCGCGTTCGCGTTTCGTCGCCGTTCATGGAGGCAGCCGTGATTACTGCTTATGTGGATGGGCGAGAGTTTGAGCTTTTATGTTTTCTCATCTTCGTGAGTGGCATGTTCGTTGGAGGAATTCTGGCGAAGCTTTGTTGTCGCTCAGCGCAGGTGTTTGTCGATTCAAGGAAGCTTGAGTCAGTGGGAAAGGAGAGCACGAGAGATATGAGCGTTGAGGTGAACGATCTGGTACCACCAGTGTTCGCAGACTGGCTTGATATGCACGATTCATACTACCGAACTGAGAAAGGAACAGTGTTGCATCTTACACCTTTCTGCAGCAAAGGCCGTGCTTTGTCGCGCTTTCATGTCTGTAAGAGATGTTTGAAGACGAGGCGTGAGGAAAGTCCCAAGCCGCAGAATGATGTTGACACTTGACCTCGAAAGGGGGTGTGAAAGTGTATAGCCGAGCTACACTCGTAGCGAGGTCAGTTTACAACCAAATGTTTGCAGGACAACTGTTTTGAGAACAGTAGAGCTCATGTCTGAGTGCCTTGTAAAGCTTTAGCTATGAGGGTTTTGCATTTGGAATGCTTGAGCAAGCGTTCTGTACCAGAACTTTGTATTTGGAATTGTTTTGAGCAAGAGTTTTTGGTAGATTTTGTAGTTTGAGAGTTTTGTCAGCATATTTGAATGCTTTAAGCTCGATACCTTCGGTATCTCGCATGGAAATCGTTTGTTACAGGAATGTCCCTTCATAGCCATGTTTGAAGGTGCGAGAGTGCTTTCGCTGTGCTTGTGAGTTGTTGCACGTGCTTTTGCTTTGTGTTTAGGACGTTTGTAATCTACTTACGTAAGGGAGTAGGTTTTTCAGGCATGTCCACTCCCCTCAGGCCACCACAAGCCACCGAACGCTTGCTTATGGTCATGCAAGGGTGAAACAAGACGAGGAAGGTGAAACAAAACGGGGCGTCCAATCACGCAAAACGGCCTCTCAGCACACTCTGTGCATGTTTTGTGCATGTTTTGACATTCAAAAGTCAGGCAGCAGTCTTGCGAAGTGTTGTTTGACCTTTGCATCGATTGCGCGTGCGGATGGTGACCTGTGGCACAACTGGTGTGTTGTGGGCTCACACAGCATGAAAAGGTGGATTCGTGGATGGTTTTGATTGTTGTGTGTGAGAGGTCAACCATAGTGAGCGTTTTGTAGTTTTCACAGGCCAGGGAAAACTGGTTTGGGGGAGTGTGAGGCGGTGGAGTCCCGATGATGAAACACCCTTGTGGCGGTCCGCGATACCAGAAGTGATGGCGATGGACTTTGGCCCTGCCACCTGGAAGAGAGCATTGGGCAATTTTCAAACAGATGCGGAGCCAGTGCCGCACCCGGAGCAAGGTGTTGGTGCCATCAACGATCTGAAGTTGATTTGCCATACAGAGGCACCGATCGTGTGATTTTTTGCACGGGTGGAGACGCATAAGTATAGGTCATCTTGTGCTACGTATAAGTGAGTTACAGGCCAGGAAGAACGAAAACAGACAACCGAACAGAAATTCCTATTTACACCTTGACCCCAAGCAGTGTGTGTGAGAAGAGTGAGGGTGAGAGTGAGAGAGAGAGAGTGTGAGAGTGAGAGTGAGAGTGAGAACGACAGTGAAACTGAGATTGAGAATGAGAGTGAGAGCGTGAGTCGTGAGAGTGAAAGAGTGAGTGGGTGTGAGTGTGAGTGTGAGTGACTGTGAGTGAGAGCAAGAGTGAGAGAGAGAGAGAGAGAGAGTGAGAGTGAGTGTGAGTGGCGAACTCATCAAACCAAACCCCTGATCTCAGCGAAGTTGGGGCAATTGCAATGTGAGATTTCTGTTGCCACTGTGGCTACTTTGAAAGCCGCCAAGTGAGGGACAATTTTCAGTCACGACGCATCACAACGAAGATCAATCAACTGCGCATTGAAGATCCAAAACAGGTGCATTTCGTTGGATGGTCAGATGCTGCCCTAGCCAATCGACGAGATTTGAGAGCGACCGGCGGTTCGCAGCAACACCTACCCCATCGAGCGCCTCTCACCTTCATCTCATGGAGGTCATCAAAATTGCCCCGCAAAGCCAGGTCATCTTTGGCTGCAGAAACAGAAACTTTGGCCGCTAGCCGAGACAGACCAAGAAACCATGTACTCCCCGTGGACCTCAAGAAGGTGGAATTGGCAGTGGGTCGCATTCCCACCGCTTTGGTCATTGATGCCAAAGCACTCTATATGACGTGCTCCAGAAGAAAGATCTCAACAGCTCAAGTGCAGGCCTCAAAGACAAGTTTACATCGTTCGGAGTGCTGTGTCTGTTGGAATCATTCAGCCGCATGAACACCACGGTCCTGGGTGCACAGCGAGGCACAATCAGCTGATGCACTTACCAAGGTCATGTTCGAGTCAATTCCTTGGGGGCAAGTCAGTTTTCGTGTTTGAATGCCATTTTTGGTGTGCCGAGTGAACCAGGTTTGCCATACACCTGACCTTTGGCCCAAAATCCACCAGGGAACCCTTTTGCCATGTCACACATACCGCTACCTTTTGAGAGATAACGATTGGTGCGGTGTTGGACGGTCCTGTGGTGGGACCATCTCGTTCGCTGGTGTTCACGTTGCACCACCCTTTTGGTTCAGGCAAACCTACATAGCATTGGAACCACCTTGCGTTGCTACACCTGTTTTGCTTGTGGTTTCGTTGCCCAACACGTCACCCCTTGAAGGCTATTTTTCAGCTCGCACAAGCAACAATGTTTTGTAGACGAACGTTAACATTGGCTTCTAGACCGTCGGACATTCGCAATGCTCTCCGGATTTTCCGGTCAAGGGGGGGGAAGTTGGCAGCCGTTCCATGAAAACTATGGAAATTCTCTATGGATGCGGTAGTAGCGGCCACAGGTTTGAGCGCTTTGCTCCATACTTTGTACGGAAACAACACCAAACAACCACTTAGCCTGCAACCTACAAAAGTCAGAGCGTACAAGTACCATCAAGTACCTATGTCAGATGAAGAGACGCATGCTCTAATTGTTTGCCTGAAAGCTTGCAAGGGTGCGTGCGCCACTGGCTCGAGGCGTTCTTGGAACTTTTTTTTTTTCAGACAGTTTCATGCGGCATTGAGGGATAGGTTTGCAGACAAGCAGGCGAAGGTAGTTGCAAAGGTCTTGCATCAGTCTGACTTGACCGCCATGCCATCGGATGAAAGTGACAGCGATGACCGGGAAGAGGATGGGTCACGCATTTTCCCCGTTCTTGGAGAAGCTTCCCTGATCCATTCATGGTGCCTCGATATTTGTGCGTTCACGGTGACACGAACGGCAGGATCGTTTCACTCCATCTTTCGCCCAGAAGACCTCACACACCGACCCCCTGCCGTGTTAACACACCGACCCCGACGCCCGATGCCCGACACGGAACGGCAGGACAGGCGGGAACGACGGGAGAAGCGTGAAGAGAAGCGCGACAAGGCGGGATGGAGTGAAATCCAGATTTCCCACCCTTTGTGACTCCTGGTTGATTGATGTTTTTGCCATCAGTTGGTCAGTTGGCTGCAGGCTTGGGTGGGTGGTCCTGCCTTGTCTCACTCACTGCTTTTCTTACTTTTGGATTGGGAGGTGTACACTCATCATGGAAGTGGAGTTCACCCTTTCGGGGCGTTCTGCGTTCTCCACGTTGGCCCATGATGATTCCAGGGAGTGTATGGAACTGCTTTAGTTGGAGAGCAACCCAAAGGGTTCATTGAAACTGGTACTTTGGATCCGTACTATCACCTGTACCAGTAGCTGTCGGTCAACAACTATCACTATTCTAGAATTTAGAGAAAGGCCTGCAACTAATTCATCATCCACTGAAACCTGGCAATGGGAAATATCCAAGTCATACTCATACTCTGATTTGCCATATAGAAAGGCCTCAGCCTTAAACATACATTTGCCACCCAAGAAAGACTGCAAGAAGAAAGAATGCAAGTCTAGCTGGCTAGGAGTCTAGCATAGCCATGTCCATTCACCAGGGGCTGCCAAGACCTGATGGTTGAGCCCTTCACCAGACCACATGGGGACGGTCGAACCCTTGGGGAGTCACTTAGGATGGGGACCGAGAACGTGGAGGCGCGACTCGCGACCGGCGAAGAAAGGGAGCAGCAGGTCGTTTGGGATCACTGGAAGTCTGGAAGACGGAGGTCCATATACTCTGGGTAGAGTACTTGTGTTTTTTTCATGGTTTGGGCCTCCAACTCGATGTATCCATGCACGTCAGTTCAGCAAGAAACCGTTTTGAACGGGTCCACCGAGTCCATCTCAGGCGCCCTGGCTGGTGCCCTGAGGAACTTGTCTGGCGCCCTGGGAGCCTCCGTGGCTTCTGCCCGCGATGCGCGCCCCGGGCCGTACGACCGCGGCACGGCGCGCGGCGCGGAGGGCGCGGTGCCTGGCGCGCGTGGCGCGGAGCCGATGGAGGGGAAAGGCGCGGTCTCGCGGTCTTGCGGTGGGGGTGGAGAAGGAGAGCGGACCACATGTCTTGGAATGGTAGGTAGGGCCAGGTAGGATAGATCAATCAAAGAAGTGGTTTGGTTGGAAGTTTGGGGTTGGCTTTGGGGTTTTCAGTGTGTTGATTCGCTCCACGGGAGCTCAGGATCGACACCCGCCCGGTGGCGGGACACCCGCCCGGTTCGGTCGCAGGTCGGGGCAAGGCGGCCATCTTGCCTCCACCCCGCAAGACCATGGACCGTTCACGCACCTGTCCCTTCTTGCGGCTCGGCACTGATGGGTGAGGAATGAGCTTGGTGAAGTTCGTTCTTTTTTTGGAACGGACCGTTTTGTTCAGTCGAATGAGGTTCTGTCAGGGATTTGCTGTTGAGGTTTTTCTTTTGCACTGAGCACAGGCTGCGGATCTTCCGAAAGATAGGCGCAGCTGCCGAGCTGGCCACGAGAAACGTCTTAGCCCTGCATCTTGGACCTGGTCCCGGTTCCCCCCCCCGCAGCCTTTGGTGTTGGAAGAGAGAAGAGGGCTCACAGCTTTCTGCCGCATGAGCCTTTCAGTCCAAAGTTCGACCAGGGCAACGCGCATTGCATGAGCTTGAGTAAATCATCGGTAGGTTGCTACACAAATATAAAACTACTATACAATGACCTTTCCGAAGTGATCGGCTGTCCTGAACAAAAATGAGCTTTGAGTGTGGTCTTCCTGTTCCTGTCAGCCTGATGCAGGTGCTCATCACGGCATTGAGGCCATCTCGGGGCAAAGGAAACAGAGGTTGAGCAAGGGAGTGGAGTGAGACTTCAGACCACGCCACGCCTGGTGACGACATCATACAGTTTGTGTGTATAATTGCATGTGTTTGTCTCATTTCTTTAATAAAGATCGTCAAAAGGGAGGGAAGGGGCGTGCAAATAAAGTTTCTTGAACGCTTTGGTGGTCGAGGGTGTGGCCCTTCTGCCACTCTTTCCATGCACTTCGCTCACCTGAGTGCGACAAGGCCTTTGCCGAGCGTGGCAAGGAGCCCGTCGACTGCGAGCTCCAGGCGTGCTCGACCAGTGAGGGTCAGATGTGCGACCTTCGCCACCCCCGGCGACCTTCGCCACCGGCGGTCTCCGTCCCGGCCCGCCCGCTTTCAAGCGTTCCCAGGTGTATGCTTGGCCGGATGTGACGCTACGAGAGCTGCTGGGCGGTGATGCGAGAAAGACGGAAGAGATGGTGCTCGACTCGAAGCAAGCCGTGAACTTTTTGTATTCCCTGCCTTGAAAATGACCCAGGAAATCTCGGATCCACCAGTGTTTTCGTCTGATTTTCCAACCCTCGAGTCAGACTGTTTACATTTGTTTATCAACCATCTGCGGTGACACCATGGAATTGCAGATCTACATACTATCTACTATCTACCACTCTCAAGGGCCGTTCCTGGTGACCATGTGAATTGTCGTCATGAACCAGTTGGGTTGTTTTCTTGTTTGTGTGCCACGTTCGCATTCGGGGGCGTTCCATCCAGTCTTCGAAGATCAATCTAAGGCTTCCATTCCACAGCCATGCGATATTCCATCCAAGCATTGCATCCTTGGGACCCCAAGGGGCCATGCAAGGGAGAGGTGATGGGGGTCTGGGATGGAGGGGTCTGCAGAGGGTCGGTCTAGGGTCCCAGTCGGCTGCTTTTCACGGGGCCACCAGCCTTCAACCACCAAACCGACCCGTTGCAACCTTTCAGGGCTCGGTGCCCAGACCGGGTTTGAACTGGGGTCTTCGAACGGAACACGGTGGGGGTGTTCGACCCACTCGAGGTTGGCGGACTTGATCAAGGATGTGGCCCCAGAGGCGCGAGATCCCAAGGTGCGTTTGGCCTTCAACCTCATCTACCCAGCTGGGAGGGCCCAGTGGAGCGAGCAGAGCGAGAGCGAGAAGAGGGGTACCGTCCGAGATGTCGGAGATCTTCCCCGAAGAAAAGGGACCAAACACACCGTTTCAAGGCAATTTGCACTGACATGTGCTGTAAACATCCCTAAACCCTAAACAGTATGAACCTTTTCAATCTGTATCACTTGTATTTGTCCACCGACGCCGAGAAGTGTGCTTGAAGCTTGGAGGTTTCGCGCTGAAGAGTCTTTGTTCAGATTTCAAGGCATCATGAAACGCCTACCGCAGAAAGGCTGAGTTGGTCTTGCGAGATTCATCGGATGCGGAGAGAAGCCACGCTTCCAAGGATAAGACTGGCAAGAATGTGAGCACCAACTTGGGGACGGTCACATGCTCGAAGCGTGGCCCGGATGATGACAAGGCGTCGAGTTGCTGCTGCATGGCTTTATCAAAGGCGAATTCACAAATCATACAGACTCGTGCGACTCGTAGGGAATGAGGGAATGAACCACCCCTGTAGGCTTCTCTGGATCGATTCCCTTATTCCCTTACGAGTCGCACCCGTCAGCATAAGACCTCCAAAGCTCCACAACCCAAGGACTCCATGGAACAACCACCTTTTGGCTCCCCACATGGTGGATCCTCACTTTCGCATGAAAGCCCTTTGCACTAGGTAGCTTTGCGTCCCATGATCACAGTAGCTTTGCACCTGGAATGCTGCAGAGATCACCCTGAGGGCAAGGGGTTGCCACAGTTTGCCTATAGAGATTCAGCCGGAGGTCGGTTGTGATAAAAACTTCTCGATATGGTCCGGTTCAGAGTTCGAAGACAAAACTACAAGGTGTTCAAACATCAGGGAAACATCAGTAGCATAGCACCTCAATCTTCCGAACAAACGCGCGGATTTTTCCATGCTGCAAGATGGTCATCCTTTGTCTCATGGTGCAGGCACTGTCATCATCGAAATTCCAAACAGGCGAGCTGGGGATCCCGATTTCAACACTCGGAGCGGGGTGTTCAACGCTGGTGTCTCCATGGCAGTAGCTGAAGGAGCCTTTTTGAGTTCCAGATGCCAGAGGTGACTGTCTACACCCCAAGATCACCTGGGTGGTCCATGAGGATTCATGGACACTTGCTGGACAATCGCTGAAGCTGTGCAGATTGATTGGTGCTGCAAACCCTTACAAGCCTTGCGCGTTGCTGATCCGACGTCAGGTTTTTTCTGGATTGGGTCCTCTGGAGAAATTCCACTCAGATGGCTCTATCACAGAGCGGAAGGAACCGTTGATACCCTCCCTTGAACAATCATGTTAAGCTGAGCAGGTTCCCCTGTAGTGGACATTTGATCTTGCAGGGGCCGAACCTCTTCACTTCCATGATTGTTTCAGGGAGTGTAGGTGATAGAACTTTTTCTTACAGCCAACTTCTGGATGGGTTGCCTCAGCGGGCAAACCCGTCCAGCCAAATGACACACGGACGGGGTTTGCCGTGACAGGGGACCTACTGGACTTGGCGATCTTGCAGTAGACTAAGGCCGGGGGCGAGAGTTTTCATTTGCTTTGAAATCATTTTCTTTCCGTTGGCTTTGAGATTTCTTCCAGCCCTTTCTGCTGGAGCGATGCCCTTATGTGCCTTGAGGTGGCAGCATTATAAGATGGATCTCATCAGCCAGACTGCGTTCCGAGGGTGGAGAGAAAAGGGCGTCCACAACCCGCCAGCCGCGGCGCAACAGCCGTGCCGCGCCGTGCCGTGCCGTGCCATGCCGCTTGTTGGGAGTGTTTTCGGATTGCTGGGACACCCAATGGACCGTAAGTGGGTGGGTTGCAGTGTCACTGGGCGACTGAAATGCTTCTCGAACGGTCTAACTGGCGGTGTGCGCAATTCCTTGGAAAAGCACGAGCCGTTTGGCACAGAGGTTTGCCTTTGTCTTTTTTGATCTGCAAGCAGGTCCAGCAGGTCTCTAGATTTGTTGAATGGGGAACACCCCAACCTTTTGGTCGAAAAGGCGCATCGATTTTCCACACATCCAGCTAACTCCAGTTTGAGTCCATCTCCTGCAGTTCTTCTCACACGAAGACAACGCGGAACCACCCACGCCGGTGCGATGCCGGTGCCGCTGCAGCGGTTGTGGGCGCGGCTGCACGAGACGGATGCGGATCGCCTGGCGGCGGCGCGGGAGTTGTGGCCTGGTCTTGGTACTACTAGTTTAATTTTAATAGCTTCTTGTTACTACTAGTAAGGCACCTGTTACTACTAGCGTGGCACTTGTTCCTAATAGCTTCTTGTTACTAGTAGTAAGAATGCTACTACTAGTAATGCCCCTTGTTCCTAGTAGCTTCTTGTTCCTAGTAGTAAGGCCAGGAGCCCCTAGCAGCTTCTTGTGGCCTGGTTTTCAGGTGGGGATGAGTCCAAAGGCTGGTATGTCCAAGACCTTGTGGCCCTGTGGTGGTGGTTTAACACCGACACGTGTCGGTCATCTCCATCGGTCCATTTTGGTGCTTTGACCCAGGTCCGGTCTCAGGTCTGGTCTTTAAGAGAGTTCCTTAGAAGCACCTCACTGGAGTATATTACTCCTCTCTTTTCTCTTTTTGGAACGGAAGGAAGACCGTTTTGAGCCTTTTTCGTTGGGACGCGCAGACGGTGCGGGCGCCTTGTTGACCAGTGACTCCAGTGACTCGTGTTTTAGTCGTTTGGGCCAGCTGCGCGCGCGCGGTCCCTAAACTGGTTTAGGAAGGAGGCCATGAAGAGGTTTTTCAATTCAATTGGGAGAGTTACTAATCAAGAGTCTACATTGAGTTGCGGATGGTTGGCAGACCAGGTCACTCAGGTCACTCAGGTCACTTGACGGCCGTGGCATGTGTGTGGCATTCGTTGTCTACCCTCGCCTCGGAGGGTGGACCAACCTCCGCTGAGGCTGGTCTCTGCTCCGGCCCATCAGATCCCCTGGCTCTTTGAATGGCTTGCGAACTCCAACAAGAAGGGCCCGCAGACGAGCCAAGGCGCGAGATTGAGAAGCCCAGGTGTTTCCTTTAAGTGAGAAGTCCAACATCTCCTGCCTTGGCTTCGCTTGGCTTTGCAGGCTTGGAGTTGCTGAATGATGTCTTGGAGCTACTGCCTGTAAGCTACCCTCTTCACTCTCATGCCTGGCCCCAAGTGACGGTGGCCCGGAGAACGAGTCGTCGATGAGAGGACGATGGTGTCCAGTTTCAAAAAGCTGCGCTTCAAAAAGGTTTCCTGTTCTCCTTTTCAATCTGAATGGTGCGACGGTCCAGGGACTGAGGACAGTCCCGCTGTGTCTCCGGGCCGAGGTGCCTTGGCTCCTGTCGCTGCCAGTGCAACAGCCAGATGGTCCACCACTGCTGGAGACGGGGGTGGCGGGATGTGTGCTTCCGGAGGCTTTCGTGTACTTGCCGAAACACAATTTTCTGCATCCTATGCTTCCTGCACCAGACACGAAACCAGCTGCCTTCACCCGTTTCGGCACTCCAGTAGTAGGCAAGAGGATTTGGAAAGCGATTCGTCATGACAACTTGATGCTTGAAAGAAAGCTGGCTCAGCTTTTGAGGAGAAGTTGTTGAGGCGTCCACCTTCGGCTTTCCGGCCAAGTGTGGAGCAGGTGGGAGGAGGGACGAGACGACACGGACGAAATGGACGAGATGGTGGGTTGAATGGACGGAAGGTGTGCAAGAAGGATTCATTTTTCGAGCCAAGCAGTCCAGGGGCGGCATCGGGGGCGCCGGTGGGCGCTGTGTTTTCGTGGGAAAGAGAGATTTTCAGAGAGGCCTGGGGTGTGCATCTCGCTTTTTTGAGCATCGTAACTGTCCTGAGAAAAGAGAACCGGGAGTAGTTTCCGACTTGCCTTCTGACATCTTGAAGCAGTTGAAGTGGAAGAACAGAATATGTCAGTTTACGGTATGCGTTGAATGTGATTGAAACTGATTCAGAACTCTTCTATACCTGGACCCGACTCTACATTTGCTTCCTGGTGACAACAGGTGCCCAAAAACCACCTGTTAGGGTCTCCAAACAGCCTGGCCAGGAGGGTCCTGGTAATTGTCACAAGAGTTTTCCAAGACTTTACGTGCTTGCCAAGGCCATGCCCATCTTTCAGACCTTGGGCGCCACCAGGAGCGGTGACTCGACGCTCTCGAGCAGGGTGAGAGCAGGGCGGGCTTCGGGCGTTTTGGGAGCGAAGGGTGCCGGGTGAGTGGCCGAGAGCGAGCAGGGACGAGCGGAGGCTTCAAGAAAGCCGTTCGCACGGCTGTTTGGGAGCCCTCCCCAAACCTCCCAAATTCAGCACGAATCGTGCACGGTGCCCGCTCCTTTTCGCCGGTCTGAGACGTTTGACCCGCCACGACCCAACCTTTGGGTCTTGACCCGGGTGCGACTCCTGCGATGAGACTGCGGCGGCAGGAGTGCTCCGAGACGCCTGCTGCTGCGCGCGCTGGAGTCCGCGGCGCCGAAGAAGGCCGAGCTGGCTGGTGCAGCGGGCTCCTGGGGGTCTTCAGTGGTTCCGCAAAACATTGAGATGGGTCCAAAACCTGCTAGGTCCGCGCCATGGAGCGGCTACGAGCCGACGCCAGGTGGGTCGTGGTTTGGTCGGTAATAGCTGGTGCGGACGACCCATCAGACAGATGTCAAGGTTTCGATTCGGGGGGCGTGGACTGGACGGGGCTCAAACCACTTGGAAAGGTGTGGCTGCAGCCAGCTTGGAGGGGGTTTTGCTACCAATTTGGAGCTAAAACTGATCTCCTCCTGAGGACGCCTCCCTGGACCCCGATCGTTTTACAGATTCTGGATGGTGCTGGCGCCGTGGACGACCCGTCTGATAGGCCTTCCGGACGGTGCTGGATGCCTTAGCTATCCTGGCAGGCGGGAAATGGCCTCCTCCAAATGATTCAAGAGGTGTTTTACTTTTTTTGATGTGTATTTTTAATTTCAAGATGGTTGACAGATCGAATCCTGAGATCTCCTAGTCCTGGTCAACAAAAAGGGAGGGATGGACTACTCCGAAGCTCCGAGTTGCACGACCTCGAACGGCGAAGCGGGTTCTTCCCGATCGCCACCGTCGCCACCGACCGCTGCCCACCGCAGGTTCTTCAGGTGTTCTCATGAGCCTTGATCTCTGGTGTTCGAAGAAATCCGAAAAGGCTTGAAATGAAGCTCCAGTTCGACCACTTAATGAAGATTGCCAACATGCCCCCACCACTGCGAGCATTGGCATTTGGAGTACCATGGTTGGTTGGAAGATATTTGGTTTCTCCGAAAATCCGAGGTCGGAGGGAACGAAAAGACGATTGGTCGACTGACAGAATCATCGGATTTCTCGACCAATCATGGAGAAATCCAGATGGATAATTGGGAGACACATGTTTTTTTTCCATGGTTTTCCTGTCCTTTTATAGCCTTTATATAATGTCCTTTTTTCAACGGTCCGCTTTTGTGTGGCGGAAGTAAAGTTTTTGACCTTTCCGCATGCAGGAGCGGATTTGAGTGAGGATGAGGAGGACCTGAAGGGAGTTGAGGGACTCAAGGTTGGTTGGAGCATCATCACAGCACAGAGAATCCCCTTGATCCAAAGATCCAGATCCCGTGGAAGATCCAGTGATCCCCCGTACACTTCGATTGCTGTTAGCTCCTTCCCAGCCCCAGCTTCATCATTGTTGCGCACAACTCAGATTGAGGGATGCTGAGACTTGCAATAGGTGAAACATGATGAAACTGCGGATGTTCATGAACGTACAGCTTGCCTGCATCATGTTTCACACCATCCGCAGTCAGTGATGATTCATGATGAAACACGATGCTTGCCTTCATCGTTCATCAATAGCACAGCTTGGTGGTGCGGATCCCAGCGAGTTTGGTCGTTCGGCGGTCCGATGGGGGAGCTCTTGAGGAGCTCTTGGCAGTGTTGCTGCGTCCGGCGCAGCTCGGTGGCTTTGAGGTGCTGGCTGCCAGCTGGGAGGCCGGATGGGGTTGGGGATGGGTGAGCTGAGATAGCTCAGCCCTGAGGTCAGGGCCTTTGTTGAAACACAGGATTCCAATCAGTCTGTAATCAGTAATCAGTACTCTCCGAGGAAGACTCACATCGAAATGGAACACCACCGGTTTGTAGATCAATGCCTTGCAAGGGGGCCTATCTTCCATGAACATGCTTTCATTCTTCAAGGAGTGTTTACCGTACTCGGTATGCTCAGTTGTGTTTGATGCAGTAGATGCTGATTCGGACCGTGACACCTCTCCGCCCCCGCTGGACCAACCCAGTTCACCTACCAGACCCACCGGATCTACTGTCCAACCACTCCTCAACTCCACGCGCCCCTGTCCCGCACCGCCTGAAGCAGGCGCCGCGCGGGACGCCGCGGACTGGGCCGCGGGGGGTCGCTCCCCGCGTCCGCAGGGGGGTCGCCGGTCCCTCCGCAGCGGAAGGCGGAGAGTCGCTCCGAGGTCTACCAGGTGCGGGGGGGCCCCGGTTGCGCCGCTTCGGAAGGCGATGCGAGGCAGTCAGGTGGGACGATCGGACTTGGGGGTTGAAAGGCCGAAAAGGATGGTCTTCCGCTGGCTGTGTATCTAACCACCCTAAGGATCCGCACCCTCAAAAACAAGGGTTTTGAGGGTACATGAGGGTACAAATAGTACAAACCCTTGTTATGGAGGGTTCGACCCCTTCTAAGGAGGGTCGAAGGATCCTTAGGGCATTATGATTTCGCTTGGAAGCCATGCTCTTGGTCTGATTGCCATGAGTAGCCTTCCCTCTGCATCGGGGGCTATGCAGGTGCTTCCAAGTGACCTTTTTGCAGTCCCCCCTCCTCGTACACGTGACCTTTTGCAGTCCGAGTGACTTGAAAGCAGGATATAAAGAGGGTAAACTCGAAGACCGGGCACAAAAAGATGCCAACACCTCAATCCTAAACCCTAAAAAGATGCCAAGACCTACACAAGTGAAGCATCAAGTGCATTCCACGTAGAGCGTGCGACTTGCGCAGGCCCAGTTGCTTCCCTGCTTGACAAAGATGATGGCAGAGGACCAGCTGTTTGATATCAGCTCTCGTGAAAGCAGAACTTAGCAATCAACATGGCCTGATTTTTGGGCAGAAGCCCGGGATAGGAGACAATTAAAAACATGGATATGTACAGAAGAGGAGGGAATTCTGCTCCGTGCTCCGTGCTGGTTTTGACACTGAGACTGCTGACAAGGTTTGAACCGCTGTGGGTCAAAACATCCATTGTTCACTGCCTGCAGGTGGGTCCCCTGTGGGGGTCCCCGGGCCGTCTCTGCTTCTGGGCCGTCTCTGCAGTGGGTCCCCGGGTTGTTCTGCCGACAGGAGACACTTTGGCGGGGCACCTGTCGGCTCCTGGTGCAGCTCTTTCGTGCCCTGGCCAAAGCTTTCGCCAGGCAACGTGCGCAGGCGTGGGTCCTGCACGGGGGAGAGACATGTTTTTCGCAGCTGCTTTTTCATGGCCAAGGGCCCAGCCCTAGGGATCCGTTTTTGTGCCGAACCTCAGGTACGGTGAGGAAGGAGATACTGTGATGTAGGTGCCAGCCAGTCGGGTCCAGTCGTACCGAACCTGAGGTTTGGTACGAAAACGGATGTATTCTCATGTATTCTCCCATGAGCGCCACAATGAGCGAGCCAACTTCGAGGGCCACCCGATTCACTTTCACGACAACGCAAGGGTTTAGGGAGGTACTCTTAACGCAGCCGTGCGTCGTCACACACCGAGCTGCAGCCGATTTGATTCAAGTCGAGCCAAGAAAGGTCCTTTGTTTTGTTGAAGCGATGGGATGTGCTGCCAGCGCGGAGGTCGAGCAGGAGGTGGTTCCCACCAACTGCAGACAACTCTCCAAGGCGGCAGTGGCCTTGCCGCGACAGTCCAGCTTCCACTCGATGGATGAAACGGCAGCAGCTGGTGCCGTCGAGCTCCACGCGCTCCACGTCGCGCGCCTGGAGAAGTTCCTTGAGACGTTGGATCCAGGGCGGTTGGACCTCGCCGTGACCCACAAGCGCGGAGCACATGCTCGGCGCCAGGAAGTGAGGTGGGGCGAAGATTGGTGTGTGCCTGATGAGGAGACCCTTTCCAGATGGCACAAGTGATGGCAGATCTTCTTCCTCTCTGTCTTTTGGATCCGCTCAGTGCTAGCGAACGCTGCCCCTCTGCACCGCACCGCTTCTTCTCGAGGAAGAGGAAACCGGAGCAGGGCATTGCAATCTTCCGCTTGAAGCCTTTTCTCTCTTTTTCTGTTGTGCTCGTAGCGAACACCTCAGTTTAGGAGGTCCGTTCTTGCGGAGAACGTATGAGAAAGTAACTTTTCCGTAGTTCAGTCCTGGATGTCGAAAAGCCTTTCATCACAGATGCCCATACTGTACAGTGCGTTATCTGAGGCTCTTGCAGGTTCAGATTCCTGCAGGTGCCTCGTGGCGTGAGATTTCCCATTTCCCAACAAATTCTTATTGTTCGAACGAATCATTCTCAGCGTGAATTTTTGAGAACGCGCCCCCGCCAGGGCTGCTCGTTCTCACAGTATCTTTCCTTTGGTGAGGAAGGACAGATATCCTGCTTGGCCTGGCATCCTGTGAGGCCCAGCGAGCAGGTCTGATGCATGGAGCTCGAAAAAGTCTGTTTCGCCTCGGACTCCGAACGTTTTCGAGGAGGTGGAGAGAACTGCAGCGACCCCCGACTCCGAAACCTGGTTCCGCTGGTGTCGCCCGCCTCTCTTTTTTTCACCATTTCCTGCGGGTGTTCCACTTCCTGCCATTCCCAGAAGCTTCGTTTGGTGTCTCTTCAGGGGCCGTTGACCCGCGTGAATTCGCGCTCGCCTCGGTCAGGAGCAGGTGCTGACCGACGGGTCCTCGCGCCGCGGCGACGAGCGCCCGAAGACGCCGGTGGAGTTCTTGGTGTTCCTCCAGTGCCTGGGTGTTTATGACGGTGGGAGGGGAGACTGTGAAGTGGCAAAAAGGAGATTGTGAGCCCGAGTGTTGGACCCTTAAAAAAGAACATATCATATACTATATTATACTATATATACACTATATATATAATATTATATTAACATGGACATGGCATATGGATCAAGTCGATGTGTCTACGTGTGGTCATTTTTGCCCCCCACAAAATGAAGTGATAAGACATGCAAAAGCACAGGATACCCTCCTGCCTACTTTGGAGGAGTCCCAATCTTAATATTGGCATATATCGGCAACAAACACTTAACAGATCTTGGAGGGTTGGCTGGAAGGGTGCTGGTCCCTTTGGCATGTCGACCAGTCTCCAGTCCTTTCTAGGGCACATCAACCAGCAGGTGCTTCCTTTCTGGGCTCCCAGTTGCAGCTGTTTGTTTCGTTCAGGTTCTGGAAGATCCTCAAGCCTCGGCTGAAGGAGGGTCGAGAGGCTCTGAGCTGCCTTCAGCATCTCTGGCAAAGTGTCCGAAGCTGCTCGGTCTTCTGCCAAATGCGCGTGCCGCGGGAGGAAAGCACATATCACAAATGAATCGAAATGAATTGAGCGAATTCTGGGGTCTCATCTCAAATTCGGGACAAAAGCTTGAGCAGTGGGCAGTCGGCTAGCTGGCTGTTTGGCCTGCCCAAAAAAGAGACCATTGGTTGCTTTCATTTGCCACCACCTAGCGGCCTAGCGACTTCCAGACACCAACAAAAGCTATTTGAACGGATTCTTGTTCTTCAAGACCCCTTCAAAATGGGTTCTTCAGGACTCGTGACCGAACTTGATCCCCTGTCTTGGGAGGAAATGGTCACAAAAAGGCCTGGAAGTTTGGTCACTGCATGGGACTCCCAAGTGTCACGAACTGAAGTGGATGGGACTCCTTACCGTCCCTTCGCCGGTGGATGCTCAAAGGATGCTCGAAGACCCGCGCGAATGGCCGGAACGGCGGATCGCGCGACCCGCGCGCGCGCGCGCGCCCGGTGGCGAACGAGGTTTTGGTCTTTACCGTCCCCGGGAAGATCCCCAGGGACTCCAGAGCAAGGTGCTGGACAGCTGCTGTGGCGTTCTCTTGCTGGGAGCTGAGTGGTTTGAAGTGAGCTTGGTGGTTGCCGCCATCTCGTTGATGAGTGACTCCAATGGAAAAGAGATAGACGAGGGGCTCTTATTTTGGAGACGTTTCATTGTTGATTCACACCAGGTACAAGTCCAAGACATGCTCAAAGATGATCTTTCTCAGAGCACCGTCATGAGAAGAGACCCGAGCCACGCGCGCGCGCGCGTGCGCGCGTTTTCGGGCACCCTCCGAACCAAGAGTCGGCCTCCTGGTCGGGCCGGGGCGCTCAGGAAGCGTTTGGAAAGCCAAACGATGGAGGTGCCGGCTGATGCATTGGAGTGGGCATGCTTACAGGATCCGTTTTGTCGCAAGTGATGTGAATTTCTTCGTTGCAAGTGATTGGTGGACCCCTTCAGGGGGTTCTGGAAGTAAAAAAGGAAGGGACCCGAAGGGACCTCAGGCACAGGGACCCGAAGGTGCAGGAGATTTTTTGGATTGGATGTCCATGGCCGGAGGCACATGAACGTGCCAGGCAGTTGATGATTTACGGAGCACATCTCTCTTGGGGGGCTGATGTTGTTCTTAACAAACTAGACTTGGGTGAAGGAACGCTCCAATGGCCCCAAGTCTAGTGGGTGTTTGGAAGACACTGGAAGACATTGAGATCTTTCAGAGGGAGGCAGTTCGTTTTGTGCCTCATTAGCAAGGCATGTAGCGAACATAGAGCAAAGTTATCAATCAAGAATGTTTGGAGCACAGGTTTATTGGATCATTTGAGACTGGAGCCCTAAAAAAGGCCAATGCAACATCATTAACTCCCAGCCGTGTTGGATCTGGGGTGATGTCGTGCTCAACTTAGGTCCCTAGGTTCCCCAGAACTCTAAATATGCATACATTCTCTGCAGCGGTTGGATCGAAACTTTTCTTGTTGGACCAGCAAGTACTCTAAGTGTTGCACTCCGTTCAGAACGGCTTGGTTGCTTGCAGATTCCAACGGCATCCAACGACCCCATGTCATAGGTTATGTGCTGGAGATGTAGGTTCCAAACACTTCTTTTTTTGATTTGGTTTGTCACATGTTACCACGTGATGGTTTCACCTGCCAATGGCGTTGAGTCTTTCTACGAGCTTTGATCTTCCAAGCCGTAAAGAGCTGCAAAACCTCACAGCTGCTCTGGATAGATGGGAGGCTGCTCGGAGCATCTTGGCACGCAACCCGGAAAGCACTCTTCATTGGCAGAATTCTCTGAACAATATTGACCCTCCGTATTGGAGAGATTTCCTGCACAGTACCGATGATTTGAAGGCAAGTCTGAGCAAGGCATTGCAGCCTGAACACCCACCCGACCTGCAGCGGTCGGTGTTCATAGTGGCTGACCGTTTGATAGGGCGAAGCCGCTTTGCAGGCAGTCGAGAGTGGTATGTCAGCAACAACAAGTACATCATCAACGAGCGAGAGTTTGCGGCGCTGCAGAAGCTTCTGGTGTGCACGCTTCGCCCCGCAAGCTTCCCTTGCCTCACTCGGGTGGATGAGGACCGAGCGGTGCAGTTCTCCTCTCCGGCATGCAGCTTCCCTTTGTACATTTCGGCCACCGTAGCGGAGCACAACCGCTTTAGAACGAGTAGAGAACGCATGCTATACCCGTGCGATTTTCTGGCATACCCACTGCCAGACCAGACATTCTACCAGAAGCATCGGGTGATTGTTCCATGGGTTCTGCCAAATGGTGTGATCGAAGTGTGCCAAGGACTTCACTTGTGCGTGACAGTGGAAAGTCCTGGCGCCAGGGCCGCTTCGCACCCTTTCGGTCGACCCGTCAATCCCCGCAGCCTGCTGAGCAAGCGGTTTCCGGCCTTCACTGAAGAAGATTTAATGCGATACACCCAGAAGACAGAGCGTTTTGAGCAGGTGGCCTTCATTGGAAAGAATATGGGTTGCCTTGACAGCCAGAAGCCCTATTCAGAGTCAGCAAACGTAGTCATGGTGCACGACCCGGAGGCGATCGAGCAGATTCTACAAGTGTCAGATGACCTAGGCTTGGGCCTGCGCACTGATGCGATGCATCTGGGTCGGAGTGTTGCTTTTCCATTTTCTTTTCCCCCTGCGTTGTGCGATGAAGAGTGGCTCCTTCAGCAGACGCTGCTGCAGATAGGCAGTGTCTTCGCCACGGACTCAGCAGCGCAAGACTTTGCTGTGGCAACACTGCATCAGCATGGGCTATCCCCTGAGTTTCTTCCGGATGTAAGTGAGAAGGACTTTTCACGTTGCCTTCAGTTTGAGAGTGAAGAAGATGAAGTGCTGAGTAGGGCGCGGGAGCTACTGGGAAAAGCCATGGAGCATCTGCGGCGCATTGAAGTCATGAAGCGTTGGATTTCAGAAGAACTTCTAGGCAAGGAGCTTCTCGAGAGATTGTGGCAAGAATTGAAGCTGAAAAAGGAATGGGCAGAAGTAGAAGATCGTTGGAACCAGTGTGCCCCTACACGCAAGTCCAAGAACAAGAAAGCTCGGCAGAAGGACAAGCAGGAGCGCGCAGAAGTCATTGACCCACAGAGTGTGTACGAGCAGTTGCAGCAAGCAGTGGCAGACATGAACAAGAAGATTTGGAAGAACCGCACATATCACAAATACTTCTGCTTGCTGCAGCGTCGCGGGGTGCTCGACTATTTTGACAGATGCTTGTGTGATGGGGCCCGCGCAGTCCTTCATGGACCTGGCCTTCGCTCCGTGTCCTTCTCGCCCCCGCATGGGGGAAGCAAGCCGGATGGGCGACCGCCCAAGATCGGGCTTTAGAGGCTGGAGGAAACAGATGGCAAAGAGGGCTTAATGTAGACTTTTGATTTATAAACCACCTCATATATATATATATATATTATAAAGAGGTTTTTCAATCCAAGCGGGAAGGGTTTATTAATCAAGAGTCTACATCAAGCGGCTGCGTTGGATCCGGGCTGTGTTAGAGCCAGAGCCAGACTCTCGGGACTTGCAGCTGCCGAACGGTCGCAGGAGTTGCTCCATTTGGACGTGGCGCCTTTTGAGTCGAGGCAAGTGGAGGGAGGGAGGCTCGAGGGAGCGAGCGCGGCCGACGGTCGAGGTGGCGCAGGGGGTTTCAGGATGTAGGATCTCAATGACTCAATGACTACTCCGAACTTTGGAGTGCAAATCAATGATCGTCAAGCCCTACGTTCTTTTTTAAATTGTGTTCCTGGTCACCTGAAAAGGATGTCCTTTACTTCAGTGAACAAAATATTGCCGTTGGGTTTCCAGAGCAATGTTTGCTTTGTGCCTCCTGTCGACTCCGCTGGATAAAGGTTGACTGCTTGTGGTTCTTTGCGGGATTTCGCAAGATCATGATCACGTGACATTTTTAGTTGTTCTTGGTTGCTCAGCAGCCCCCCCCCAAAAAAATGCTGTCCTCGTCGTGACCTGATGTCTCACGTGTCCTTGATCCGTCAGGCTTCGTCTGGGACCGACCGTCCAGCGCCCCAGGTTACAGCGTTTCTGGATGCTCTTGAGCCGTGCCACGTGCGTGTCGGGCGCGCCCTTGGCGGCCCGGCTGCTGAAGTCCTATGCGGCGCTGGCGGTGGGGAAGCCCAGCGAAGAGGGAAGTGGGGGTGAAACGGACATGGATGGATTGGTGAGGTCTTTTCTTTCAGGCTTGGACGCTGGCTGCAGACGTTGGGTTTGAATCACCTCACGACCCTACAAATATTGGGTATACTCCTTTGCAGGTTCACATGGAACGTGAAAACCACTGGGTTGTAGAGGAAAATCGTCTTCCAAATGTTCATTTTCAGGCTCCATGTTAATCTTCCCGGGTGTAATGCCTTCAGCATCCTTCTTGGACCGTTTTTGCTTTTGATATGTTCGCACAAGGTCAGCTGGGCCCGGTTCCCGATTCCAGGACCTCTCCTCCTGCCTACAAGCACTGACAAGTGCTCTCGAGCAGTCTCAAGGAGGGAACGGGATGTCTGAAAAGAATCTGCTTGAAGGAGGGAGTGCCCTTGCCGCTTGCCAGAAGGAACATGTTTTTGAGTGTTACTGTCCAGATTGGATCTTTGGGGGGGGCCTGTGAAACATGTTGAAGGGACTCGGCGGAACTCGGCAAAAGAGTTTGCAAGAGGGGCTTCTTTCAAGGTGTTGACAGAACCAATGACAAGGACGTCCGAAACGAGTGCTAGGAATTCGATCCAGGAGCTGACCCACAAAGTTTAGGGACACCATCTTAGGTCACGGTCACTGCTATCCCCGCATATGTTGGAGTGCCAATAGGTTTTTCAAGGTTTTTTGAGCAACTCGGTTGGAGTTTCCGACATCCTCCTGAACACCGTGCTTCCTAACTTTGGGCCACCTCGAGCAACTGACGAGAGCAACTGACGAATGCGAGCGCAGCGGCCCAAAAAGTATCAGGAGATGGATGTGCATTGCTGATAGAGCCCCACTTCGTACGAGGTGCGCGTGACCGATCAATGCTGCAACTGACAGGCCCAACTTCTTGGGATCTTGTGTCTGGGATGGTGGGGACACTTCTTGGGTCTGCCCAAATCTGCCATGCAACTCCCCAAATGAACTTGTTTTGCAAACTGGCCGCCTGTGGCCCCCAAACTCACCGGCAAACGTCTCGAGCGTTTGTCCTCAGGCCTTGAAGAGGCCGCGGGAGAGATTTCGGCTCCGGGGCCGCTGAAAGGCCCGGGGAACGGAACGGTGCTTTCGGCCCGGGCCCGGGAACGGTGCGGAGGATCTGAGGATGAAGACGTGAGTGGGATGAAGACGTGTTGGTCCGTTGGTCCGTTTTTTTTTTTTGTTTTATTCTTTACTTTTGGGTGTATGTATGACGTCTAACTGGTTGAAACTTGTACTGATGTAACCTCATGTGATTTTATGTGATCTTATGTCTTTTTCCCGTTCATTCACCCAGTGGTCCGTTTTTGGGTGGCACACATGAGCCTAAAACACCAAGTGGTGTTGGGCTGTTGCTTGTTTGGCCACGGGACTGTTGAGATCGGACCGATTCCGAATGGAAGGCACGAAAAAGGCACGACCCCAACCGGTGTTGTTTTTCAGTGTTTGGGGGTGCACATGCGTGGAGTTCTCTTCTGGAAGAACTCGTGCACAAACCAAGGCGAGCCTGCAGAAAATCTTGAAGCAACATGAAGCAACCAAGTTGGATGGACAGTGGACACAAAATCAAGCTGAAGCCTGAGAAACAACCTGAAGCCAATGAAAAGGATGTTTGGACACCAGTGAAACCAACGACTCAGGTTGTTTGAGATAATTTCGATTCGATGGAGCAGTTCAGGATGTTTCTTTACAATTGTTTCATCCGCACTGGAGAAAGGATGTACTCTGTCGGAATCCCACTAAACTAGCGGCCGCCCCCTTTTGCAAGAGCCTGTACGGCTTCATCGCTCTAGAGAAATAGCTTTTGTTTCAAGCCCAGAGTCCATTCTGCAGAACGTTCTCCTTCAAGCTTTAAACAGAGGTTTTCCTTTATCTCGTTCGTCCAATCTTCAGCCACCTGAGACGCAGCAGAACAGGCACATGGACGATGCTGCTGACCCCCCTGCAGGCACGGTGCCCCGTAGAAAATCCCAGAACGCGAGACCTTACAACGATGGCATCGAAGGGGAAGATACTAAACCTTCCAACTTTGGCCAAATGTCTACCTTTTCACTTCTAAAACCGGCCGGAGTGGGCATACATTTTGCACAGTTGGAAGATCTAGGTATATATAGGATGCTACAGGTTTCATGTAGTTTTACAACGGGCCCGCTCCTCGCCAGGCGGAGTCCGAGTCCCGCTCCTGGCCGGCGCAGCTCCTGCGGCCCTTCGTGGCCGGGCTGCGGCCCAACGAGTTGTGCCTGGGGTTTTCAGCGGCACGGGTGGCGAGGGTGAGCGTGAGCGAGCTCGGTCACCCAAGGTTCTTTTTTCTTTGGATATTTTTGTTAGGGGTCAGTCTGTATCTGACCATGATTCTTATGGGTTTCTTCTCGAAATAAGAAGGATCATGCATTTTCACACATGTCGTTGGTTCTTTTTCGAGAACACTTCCCGTACGCTGACCCTTTTTTCTCGAACACCTCGGTTCGTCGCGGTTCGGCCGATGCCAGTCCAGTGATGCGGAACAGAGTCGTGCCCAAGGTGCTTGGACGCCATGCGAGATCTTTTTCACCAGACCTACGAGCTGGTCGAAGGTCCCGCCTTGTTTCTTTTTTGGAATCTGAAAGGACTGGAGGTATGTAGGTGCCTGCTTGTTGGGCCCAAAAGGTGTGAGAAACCTCGCTCCAAATGCTCCGGCCACTTGGTGAGGACCAACAGCTGCCCTTGCAGGGCTGCTTGTCCTTCCGTTTCTTCCGTCCCGGACGCAATGGCCATCGGTGTTTCACGACACCGGCGAGCTTTCGGCCTATTCGATTCGGGATCTCAGGGGTCGAACAGTTCATCGAGGAAACCCATTCGCAATTGGTCAAAGATCTTCATAGGGGGCTTCTTTCTTTCTTTCTTTTTTGTTTTTTCTTTCTCTCTCTCTCTCGCTCTTCGTATGGGGGTTGTTATAGAGAGAGAGAGAGAGAGAGATGGGGGGTTGAAATAAACAATCAAGATTCCACATTGAAACCCTACGGATCATGCCAGGTACTGAAGGATCACCCGCCATGGAAGGCTTGCTACTGGCTTTGTGGCCCGGACTGCAAGAAGAACCCCTCACGCACCGTGGGAGACTTGTTTTAGATGGAGCTAATGGATTGGTCGTTGGACCCTTCTAGCATCTGAGACCTTGTTTTTGGGCTCAAGAAACAAAAGCGCATTGGAAGACATGGTTTGTTTGCAGTTGGGCTCAGTGTTTGGGAATCCATGACCAACTGCACCCTGCCAGGTTCAGAGTGAGAACTCATCCATCGATACTCGCGCACGCGCCGAACACCGACGAGGTGCACTTTGGGCCGCCGGCTCAGCTCCTGGGAGCTGCCGCCGCTGCTGGCGGAGCCGCAGGACACGGCGCGGAAGAGCCGCGAGGTGCGATCGTGGTTACTGGTTACTGGTAGCTTCTTGTTGTATACTGGTAAGTAGTAGAAATGCCCTTGTTACTAGTAGCGCTGCACTTGTTACTAGTAGCGATGTGGAGCAGAGAATGGACTTGGATGATCTTAGAGGTGTGAGAAAAATAAGGGGAGGGAAGGGATGGCAGATGGCATGGTGCGAGAGTGTGAGTATATATGTGCTAGTTACGGTTTCGATTTTTTGGTGTTCCTGGAAAGTTTCAGCTTGTGCTTGTCGAAGGTCACCATGGTACCATACTGAAGTTTGTGGAATGGAAAGTCTGGTGTCTTTGCAGAGGCAGAAGACCTGCCTAAAGCAATTCACGATTTTCACACTCATATGATATGCAATTTCGGCATAGCTGTCGGCGGTGACAGATCATGTTCACGCTGACAGACCTATCAGTCCAAGGAGCGGCGTAACATGCCGCATGCAGCATGACCAGCAACTTCCGCCACTGATGGCACGACAGCAAGCACCTCTCCAACACGACAGCACGGCCCTCTTTTTTCACGAAAGCTGCATGCACAGCCCTTTTGACATGGGGCCTTGGGCCACCAAAACTGACGTTTGGTGAGATGTCCAGACTGCCTCAATCTTACCAGTAGCTTCTTGTTACTAGGAGCGATGGCCTCCACCTAATAGCATCCAAGACCTCCTAGTAGCTTCAAAGACCTAGTAGCTTCTGGTTGGCTAGTAGTAAGAATGCTATTAGTGGTAATGCCAGGAGCCCCTACTTCGTAGCTTCTTGTCACTTCGTTCATGGACAC